GAAAAAAGATTCCAGTCAACATAAGCAAAAGCAGAAGAGTTAGCACATCACAGCAAACAATGCTTTCTGTTTTAAGAAGTTACATGACTAAGAGGAAAAGGGACCTCCTCACCTGTTACTTACAGTAGCCAAAATTCAAGTCATACTGGGATATGACATTAGCACTTCATTTCTTTCTACTATCAGCATGAAAACTTGTATTTTGAGTGTTGGTTTGGCAAGTTAGACTAAGGAACCAAAACAAAGGAAAAATACTTCCTTGCCAGTGGCACTTCGTTCAGAAAAATGCACATTTGTTAAGAGTGTCTACACAACCTAGGAGAATAAAGGCACTGAAATTTAACTTCTAACTGAGGGAGAATTCCATTTTGAAAGATGTTTAAATACCTAAAGGTAAATTAGGTACCTGCTGAGCTGGCCAAAGCACCTAGGCTCATGCAGCAGTGCCTGTATACCCTCCCAGGAGCTTGCAGGAATTGTCAGTCCTGGTGGTCCTTCCTGACCAGGAGCTAATTACCTTCTATCTCCTCTGAAGCTACAGGTGCACAGACCTTCCTGCCCCAGACTTTGTGGGACAGAAATCCATTCAGGTAACAAAATACTTAAAAATTCCATCCAGATCAGGAAGCTCATGAGCTGCAGCTAGATGGAACCTGGGAGAGGTTAGAAAGCAGTATAATTCATACTTGTGTGTTCTTACTTTCTATAGGCATCCACTTTGCTTACATCCAGTCAGGCACAGGATAGTGGGTAAGGCCCAGGACAGTGGCTGTCATGATCTTTATTTTGAACTTACCCTTAAGATGCGCTATCCCCTCTTTCCTGGTAGCTTATTATTAGAACTGGGTCACATGAGGCATTTGGGACTGTGTCTCAGTTGCATTGACCGACATTTCTTTCCCAGGGAAAGCTCTATGCTGGCAGGAACAGCAATACAGCTCGTGTGGGGAGGGGAGTAGCATTTTTTTGCATAAGATTCAGTTAATGCAGAGTTTTCGTTTTCCTGGCTGTTGCCCACTGCGTGAGGGCTGTGGCGCTGAGCTAATCCAGGGAGGCGTCAAGGCGCGTGCCGTATTTAGAGTCAGCCACCTGCTTGGAACATCAAGCAGCAGCAAAGAGCCTGCTTCAGCAGAAAACTGCCCTGTGGGTCCTGCAGCAGCACCGGCCAGCAGGCCCTCCTCTGCCTAAATCTGCCTGTGGCCTCCGAAGGGGTCAGCACCTGAAGACAGTCAGACCCTGTCAGCATGGGAATGCTCTGAGGCTGGCACTCCCTCTGCCCAGGAACTGCCAGATATTTTGGACAGCTGCAAGGTGGAAGTAAATCACGTGGGTGAAGAGTGGCCTAATCTCTACATAGGCAATATGTAAGTGTTATTTGAGGCTGAGCTGTTCTGAAGGGCTGGGAAATACAGTACTCGTTAACATATGCTGCCCAACTTTATTTAGTTAGCATTGGTAAACTTCATTGCCTTAAAATAGACTTAAGATTAGCATAGAAGAAAGAAAAAGGATGATTCATTAAAGAAAGAACCCACTGAACAGAAAATGAATTAAAAAGAGAATTAGACTCTATTGCTTTGCATTATTTTATAAATGCTGCAGCATTTACCATACAAAGCACAGGACAGACTCATGATCCTGAGCAGCCTTAAAATTGAACAGTGATTGGTTTTACCTTTTTTGTTTTAATTTAACTAGAATGGAAATTTTCACATTCAAAAGTATTCTGATTTTGGCTGTTTATATGACAACTTGATTTGCAGTTGAAATTTCTAACAAAAAACAATATGGATGTTCTGAATGACAGCAGACTCCACTGTTTGTTTTTCAAAGCTGTATAGATGGATATTTCACTCATGCAGTCATCTGCACTCAACGTGCCTAGTGCCCGATGTTATGCCAAAACAAGTTTTTTTCACCACCACCAGGTTGCAAACTTGTTGAAATACCTGGAAATTAAAATTACAATAACTCCTACATGAGAGAAGCAGGAGGAACGAACAATCCTTTGGCTAACTGCCCATTGATTACAGACAAATGTGGGCATTCTTTTAGCTATGAAAAAGCAGAGCCAAAAAAATGAGCTAGGTGATGGGGAAATAATTTTCATTTACAAAACTTGGTTTTACAAATTGCAACCTGCTTCCCAATCTCACTGCACTTCTAATGAGGAGTGTGACACCCTTCAGGTGGGCCGAGCAACAGGGGCCATGAGTGTGGAAAGGCAGAAGCCAACACAACAACATGCAGTGCTTCACTGAACTTCTGCCTTGGCAGTGAGAATGGGGAACCAACCTCAGCTTTTCCAGTTAAACCTTGTAACTGTACTTGGAAATTAAAGTTTTACTTATTAGAACCATTTGGATTTGTACAATTGAGCCCAACAGGTAGTAAAAGTAAAGATTTAATACAAAAATCACTGAAATTGGCGGGGAATAAAATGTAAAACAGTGTATGTGTAGTAAGGAAAATATGAACTTTGAGAACATTCAGCTAACAGGAATAAAAATGTAAACAGGTTTGTTTGCTAATGCAACAGCTGATCGCTAATATCAGCTTAAATACAAATTACAGACTGCAAATAGTGAAACTGTAAGTTGATCAAGTGCTACAGACAGAATTTTCTTCATTTTGCCAACATCAATAAGACAAATATGAACAACTCCTGAGAATAAGGTTTCATGGGATCTTCATGAGATAGAAATGGGGAATAGCGTATTAAATTAATCATTAAATATTTGCATTTAGGGCCCAACCCAATACTCAGTGAAGTCAATAAGCAGTGGATGTTTCTATCGCTGAGCAAACCCATGCCAGCATCAGGACTTGTGTCAGAGCTAAAGTAACCCAAAGCAGTACCATATATTGTCACTTCTTGTTTCTGTGGAACCAGCTGTGTGCAGTTTCTGAGCAACTACTTGGAAATCAAAGATCAATCTAGAATTAATGCTGTATTTAATAAGAAATATTTCTCCTTATGTGTTTATCAGAAATCTGATGATCAGTGTCTTTAAACAAGTTAAATCTATCTTGTAAAATAAAGTGGGGAAGGGTGATTTTATATGATGACCTTCATCCTGGAAGACTTTGAAGTTGTCAACAAACTGATTATTAAATATTTGTCTGGCTATCAGCCATTGTTTATATGCAAGGCCAAGGCCAAGACTCTCTGGGTTTAAAGGTAAAATGTTTTTTGAAATACTACATAAGTGGCTAAGGGCACAATATGTAAAATATTCTGCAGAAATCAAACCTCATGCTGATCTTAAGCAGGCAGGTTTGTTTACTGGAGTTTAGCCAGGTTGACAAGGCTAATATCGTTTCATCAAAGAAACATCATACAGGGTGAGGCAAAATGGTTACAGGATGGGCTAAAACCTTGTGTATTCTTTCAACATACATATTTCAAGTTTAATGATAGGAGGACCTGAGCTACCTCCTGAAGTGCATTTTTGTAAGGTGTTTAGGCCAGCAATCCCCAATGCCTTTGTAGTCAACTGGAGCCTGTAAAACTTGTTGAATTTATTTACTTGCAGAAGTGAAATAACTTGGAATTCTGCATTTCCAGATATGTTTGAGTATATTCAGAAATCACAACCTTTTACCATTCTTTCACTGCCTCACTTTTTCTTACAAATGTCAAAGGGGGAAAAATGTCTCAAAGTTTGGTGGGCACTGCTCTCTACAGACAGGAATACACTACAAGGCAACAAGATACCTTGAGCTACTTTTTGTGATGAGTTTTCATACATGATTCTCCTTAGTTCCACAACCCATAACAAGGAAGACCCAAAAAGGCTTGGTGACACCTATGCACTGAGTGCAGCACATTTTTGCATGGAGAATCAAATGAGAGCCAACTTTCTATGGCCAGGAAATGCATTATTATAGAATATCTACAGAGGACACGATTGACTTCCACCTTGTTGCACTTTTCTGTACCACCTCTGAGTGCATTCACGAGGGCAAATGGCAAGGCCCTGTCCTGCTGGTAAACCACTGCTCCTACTCAGCACTTCCATTAAGCAATCACAAATTACTTTAGCAGCATTAACTAAACCTCCCTCAACCACTTGTGTGAGCCTAATTATCCACCTACAGACATTGTCTCCACTGGCAAGTGGGAGAACAGCAGGATCCTGAAAGATTAGGAGTGACCAGCAAAACCCTACCCACATCAGTGGCAAGGATCATACACGGTCTACTGCTAATCCATCAGAGCATATCTTCTGTAGCCGTAGGGGAAAAAAACAATTATAAAAGGGAATGATGCTGTATTTTAGTGACTGGGGAGAAAGTTCTGAGTTCTCAGTCAGAAATCACTGACTTTTTTAGTTTTTCTGTGTTGATTCATCAGAATACACAATACAAAAATAGTTACTTTCTGGTTTGAGGAACAGCCAAAAGCTGCAAAGAGCTATTGCAGAGACATGCCAATTGGCCATTTACAATGCCTAATGCCATGTGTTTCCCTCTGTTTCTGAACTCAGGTCTCTAGTAACAAAAAGTGGTTCTTGATTTATGAAAGGGATGTATGTAATACCCTGGAGGCTACTTTATCTCATCTCCTGTAAATTGGATCTCTTGGAGATGAGATAAGATGAGATGAGATGTGAGTGAGGTAGAAGAAATGCAATCTGTGACCATGGCACTATTCCTTGCAGCTGGAACAGCACTACATGTATTCATTGCTGTTTGTAAGGGAAAAATCTTTATTTGTTGTATTCTTAGAAAAGCGGATCTGCTTCTTTTCTGCCGGCTGGCCTTATGATACTCTGTCATTTTCCTCTTGGCAATGCTATCCAAAGAGTTGTTCAGTAGTGAGCAATTTCATCAAGCTGCAGGATTTACGTATTGAACTAAGATACAGTATACACCTGTGTCAACTAAACTCTTACATGATTAAAAAACAAAGTGACAAGGAGAAATGTCAGACAATCTGAGTATGACATAAAGATGTAAGGAACATGACCCAAAGTTTGGCATCAAATCTATCTTACCTGTTTAGGGTGTAGAAGGTTTCTGAATTTTGTATGCTCCAGTCATTCCTCGATCATTTGGTTAAATGAAGGCAACAAATGTGTTAGACACTCCTTTAGGATACATTCCTAATTTGTTGTCCATTCTGCTCATTCAAACTCTTCAAACCCAAGAGAAAATAGGCCCCTGTTTAAAATTAAAGCTCTTAAGTATGTTCCTGGACATAAAAAGATGCAAATATGTTTTGCTAGATTGGGATCAGGGGAAAAAATTGTCCAAACCATACAAGAAGTCATCCAGATGGGAGACAGAGACAGAGATTTTCACCTTGGTGACAATAGATGCTGAATGGCTGGGGACTTCTGAGAGGTACCTTCCTCCTGCCATGCTCTCTGCCCAGCTCTGTCTTAGCTTTATGGACCTGAGAATTACTGCAAATGTAATAAATTTGCAGCCATTAATTAGCCTTTTTTTCATGCTCGGAGTTCCCACCAAAATTCTTTTTATTCAAACGTTGCTGTGTCTCTACCACTAACAAACACAGAAAGACACAAGTTCTTTAATTTTACAGGAATGTTTCATAAAAGAACTGCTCTTTCAGCCTTACTCTGCTGGCTTAGAAGACAGGTTTCCCCCAGTAACCTGTTTTCTGTCGATGTCTCGCAAAGGAAAGGGGACTGAAAAGATAAAAACAGTTTTGAAATGACTACCCAAATTGGCAAGCTAAGCTAGACCACCCTGGGGTAGTTCTCATCTTAGAGCAGGTCTTGGAAAACAAACTGTAGTTTTAGACTGAAGTCCTAACCATGCAGAGGTAAAATACCTGAGAAAGTTGCTGGTGGCAATTCAGCATCTCAACAGAACTCCATAGCATTTGCCCGGAGTTCGTTTGTCACGTGTGCATTTCCATAGAATATAATACAGTGCAACATCACAGCACCAATGCTGGGGCCAAACTAATCCTTGTGGAAACCCTCACCTAAAACCAGCGGTGCAACCCAGAGCTGAATTTGCCCTCCTATTTCTGAAAAGAGAAGTCTGCCAAGGACATCATGGCCTATGAGGCACACATTGCTGGCAGGCTCTCAAGTGCCAAAATAGAACCAGCATTGCCAGCCGCGCACATCCTGTGCTTTGCAGGCAAGACACAGACAAGAAAAACAATCAAGTTGTCTGGTGGAAAAAGCGGCTTCCCAGGATCTCTCTGACCACGGTGTAATTGTGATCAATCCACACTGGCAAGTATCATCTTTCCACGTGTGTTCCGCCTAGTGCAGGCTGCCTGTGTGAGCAGCTCAGGCAGGCTGATGCATGCTTGTTATTGCCGGCATAAATATCTCTGCCTTGTGTTATTGTGGCACAAAGCAGCTGGACCATTTGAAAATCATTTAAAAAGCACTATAAAATTAGGGCTCCAGTGCTCTTATTTTATGACTTTCACAAGCAGCCGTTGCCTGGAGAGAAATTATCCTCTTTATTTTCCAGGCTTAAGGTTCTTTTAACATTCATCAAAATCAAAGTGCACCCTTGATAACACATCGAGCTGTTACTTATCTAGTACAGACTCTTTACCTTCTGCATAATATCACATTTGAGATCTCAGTTCTTCATATACAACTCATTTCATTGTGTCTGCTGTTGTTTTCACCAAGTGAATTTGCATAGTTTCTAGAGAGGTTGGATGATGCCCTGAAACACATTCTTTTCATAATTCACTTTTTTTTAAATTTTATTTTTAGAATAATAGCCTGGAGTGCTTTTGTTACTGATCCTTCTATAAAAATGGTCAATTACCTCTTTGGCAATGGATTTGCACAGACCAATTAAGGACCGTAAGTGAAAGCTTATCAAGGACAGAAATAGTACTTATGTGCATAACCTGATGGACTCACCTTTCTGCACTCGAAAAAATCTCTTTCCCATATGTAAAAAAAAGGCTTTGATAATTTTTCTTTTCTATTCTTGTTTTTACAGACAGCTGCTTTACCAAACTCAGGAAAACGGTGAGTGAACCAAAGCAGCATGAAAAAATGCAAACAGTACAAAGGGAAAGCCATTCCTTTTAGAAATAAAAAAGAAGCACAGCTGCATCAACCATACTTACAGCTCAAATCTGAAGGGCTTAGGAAGAAACACTGCATGAAATCCTCAACCACAAAGGTGACAAGTGGGGAATGCCCTGCACATGCTCTGTTCTGCAGCTCAAGAAAAACACTGTGTGTCTCTGTGTTGTTTAACCTGCCTTAGGTTTCTGTAAGGGACAGGTCACCTTATTATCCAGACATCAAATACAGACTGGAGATAAACATTTACAAAGTCATAACCTTAGCTCTGTTCTCATGGTTCCCTCTTTGGCCAAGATTTTTGTCTGTATGTTCTCTAGGGGTAGCAGGCTCATTCCTGTGCCAAACAGCAGCATGCTTTCAGATCCCTGCGAGGGGGGTTGGTTGTTGCTAATAGATCCCGCTGTGAAGGCATGTGTAGCCACATAGAGCATCTGTACAGTCAAGATGCATCATCCTGCATGGAGGAGGAGATGTAACCAGCCAGAAGGCAGGCTATGTGTGTGCAAAGAGAGCTTTGCCACCATGCCAGCACCTCTGAGAGTAGAGGGAGTCTGAATTTTTAATGGCAGATTTTGCCTGTCATCACCCAGTTTGTGACCCATCAACAGAATGGTTAAGCTAGCAGAGAAATGAGATGAAGTTATTTGGTAATCACTGTTGTTCATGACCCTGGAAAGGCAGAAAATGGGACAGGCATGTCAGACATCTTCACGGATAAAGGAAGTGGGACAGACATTTAGTAAGTCAGGATAAGAAAGCACCTCAGCTCTATGGTACATTTTTCTGCTTCAATAGTCAGTAACCACCTTCCTATGCCTGACAGTCTCAGAAATAAAAAGAAGAACCCAAATAAGCATTTCAGATCAGATTTGATCTTCTGGGTTAAGACTGACCCACACAATCTCAGCCCTTACTTGTGGCAATAGTGAAAAGTGGTAGAAGAGTAGAGGTCAGTGTAGCCCTCTCAAGACCTGATCCAGCACCACAACTGTGATTAAGTCACCTGTGCAGGAACTTCCTCCCTTCTGAGCTGACCTGCACATGTGTTTGCTCCCTCTGAGGTATATACACCTTGCTCAATAGAACAAAAATTAAAAGCTCAGGGATAAATCCCTCACCCAATAGAATAGAAATAGAAAATCCCTTCTACCCAGAGATTTCAAATTTCTGGACAGCCCTGAATTTGCCTTTGTTTGGGGGATAAACTGCCTGTGGTGAACAGTTTCTCACTCTTGGTCTTCACTAAAAAAGATAGCAAATTGACACTTGCAGTTAATGCTTCAGTGCTGAAAGGGGAGGATTTTCCTTTCAAGCACTGAAGGGGAACAGATGTCTATAGAGTGTTGTTTCTGCTGTACAGACATATCTACTAACACCTCAGTGTGTAAAGGCTTGCTCACCTCATGTCCAGAGCAGGATTAAGCATTCCCTGGAGCTGCTTTCACCTAGGTGATCAGTGGCTGGAAGGCTGGCAAAAGGACCCAGGTTGTGGGATGTGCTGGACAAGGCAGATTCAAAGTCATTTGTGCTCAGTTAAACCTATTAATTTCCAGGAAGGCTTAATCTACTTCTGAATAGCAAGTGCGATCCTATAACTCTGAGGTGGGCAGCCAAAGGGCAAAAGAAAGTTCCTGGATGCTGACAGTGTTCTTGTGGTGTTGCCAGCAGCTGCAGAGCTTCCATCATTTTCTTTCCTCCCAAAATGAAACTGATTCTGCTATTAGCTGCAGAACCAAGCTGGGACCAAAGTCACTTTACCATAAGAAGCAATACAAGAAAGAATACCTTAAAAAGACAAGTAGGATCAGAATCTGGAAGGGAAAGGTGTGAGGGCACTGGGGTCTGTGTTCGCATTATCTCATGGGGCAAGGGTGTTCCTTCCCAGGTGATGGGCACCCATATCATCAATTCTTTTTCCTTATCGTCATAACTGTTGAAACTTGCTTCAAACATTTTTCTTTTGCTCCTTAACTCTTGATTCCTTGTCATCCTCCTCCATGGTGCCACCGTGAAATGGCAATTGGTTCACAGTGACAAGTGTATTCCCAGCCTGGGGGACAGATTCTGTATGTTTGGTGCCCATGTTATAGAATGCAGTATTTAGTAATGGGTACTGTGCAGACTGCATTCATAAGACAGGTGGAAAAGGCACCAAGGCAGGTTAGACCTGAAGATCTGGATAGTTATTGTCTCCATCAACCCAGAGCAGAGCCTAGGAAAAGACAGCATAAGAAACAGGACAGCTGCTTATCTTCCAGCTTTTGGCTTTCAATAGATTGGCTACTTCCTAAACCTCTTGATGCTTTTAATTACTACTGACTGGATGGCAGGGCTGGTCCTAGTACAAGACTCCCTAGTTGCCCCAACAAGCACCTGGCCTCCATCAGCTCCAGGGAGGTTAGCTTGGGCTGTGGGGAAAGAAAGAAAAGGAGGGGGGAAGGCTGGCTGAGGAGAAAGGGTGCATGGGTGAGGAGCAGGCTGGGTGGGTGGGGAGCAGGCTGGGTGAGTGAGGAGCAGGCTGGTGCTGGAGGAGGCTCTGGGGAGGCCGCTACCACGGTGCAGCACAGCTGTTGTGGCCGTGAGGTTCATCCCCTCATTGGACAAACTGCAAATGCCTCTTTGTGAGGAAGGGGAAGGTGAAGGAGTCACAGGAACCACTGCACTGACTCTGGAGCAGGAATGCCTCAAAACCTCCAGGCAGCCTGGTTGTACTGTCCAAGCCAATTTCCATTCTTGTAGAGGGTTTATTTACTTTTAAGAAAAGTATTTGAAGCAGCCAGGGAGAGAGCATGAACAGCAGACTCCTCCATCCCAGCCCTCTTCCAAAGCCCCATTGGCTCCTGAGAGATTCAGTCCTGGCAGTGGAAGTGTCTCATCTGTGACACCCATGTGAGTGAAGGGTCCGTTTCCCCCTGGAGAACAGGCAGGAGAGACTCTGAGGTGACCCCCCTGCCAGTGCAGCACTCAGTGCAACAGCCTGTCAGCACCAGGTGTGTTCTCCTGCACAGCCTCTGTCCCTCATGCCTCCCTCTTTTCCTAAACACCAGAGCAGTGGATCTTCCCTCTAGCTTTTCCTGCTATGACTCAAGGAACTGGGAATGGGAAGAGAAATATATTTGG